CCCCCCCCCCCCCCCCCCCCTCCTAGGCGGCCTTCCCTCTCCCAATCTGCCGACTCAGGCGATCGATAAAATCATCATCCTCCGTGTGTAAGTACCACCGTGTTCAAAGTTTTCACAACAGTCTCTCTCTGGTTCATGATTTCTGGACATCTGTTCAGTCCTATCACCGGAACAACGGTATTCTCATGGAAAAGAATGTTCTTCCTCCATAATTTCAAGGTAAATCCCAAAGGAAAATATAGTTTCAGATTTTCTTTTTAGATTAATCCCTTTACTGTTTGCTAGGCTACAATTTCTGCGTAATTGAACTTTCCCCTGAATTTCAATTTTTATTTGTTCAAATGTTCAATCCCTGATACGTAATGTTGTTCATGACTTTATAATTCGCCTGATCAATTTTCCTGCAAACGCACTTGAATTGATGGGAACATTGAAAGCAAAGATGCAATTCTTACTGTGAATCTGTTTCGTCGGGTGCTCTGGCCAGAATGTAATAATGGGGACAAGAAAGGGGAAAAGGCTTTTTAGCATTGATGGCAACTTTATGATTACATAGTTTTGAAATTTGGATGACTTTTGAAGTTATGAGTAACACACAATGCTTCATTGTGTTTGTGTGTTTACCTGCTTGTTTATAATGCTCATTTGGGTGTGATTCAAACGTGAAAAGTTATTTTACATGTGCAGTTGTAGAAAGTTCTGCTTGAATTGAATTGCAATTGAGATGGAAGATGAAATATTTACTGGCATTGCTAATGGAACTCAAATAGACAGCAAAGTTCTGCAGACATTTCAAAAGAGTTTTTTACAAGTTCAAAACATTTTGGACCAGAATAGACTGTTGATCAATGAGATCAACCAAAACCACGAGTCTAAGATCCCAATTAACTTGACCCGAAATGTGGGTCTAATTAGAGAGCTCAACAACAATATTAGAAGGGTGGTTGATCTCTATGCCGATCTTTCAGACTCTTTGACCAAATGTAGGGAGGCTTCCTCTGAAGGGGAATCTGCTGCAACTGTTAAAACAGATGGAAGAGGTGGCGGGAAAAGAATAAGGTCCAACTGATTGATTGAATGATTTATCATCCTCGTTGGTTTATGCCATCTTTAATTTTTTTCACTAAAACTTAAATGTTTCGCTCACATTGTTTCCTCAGACATTGCAACTCAGTTTTGGTTAACTTTTACCTGTAGCCGCATCTTTCTTGGAAAACAATAGCTCCTATAAATTACTGTCTTACTCTTGTGAGCTTTGCGTTCTTTAAATGATTAATAAGTTTTGTTTCGTGAGTTTCTTGGGTGAGTGATTTAATATTCTTTCCCAAATCTATTACACTATGAGCTTCTTCTCTTCAACTTATTTTATTACATACCTAGTATTACTTATTCTTAATGGAATCACATGCGATGAAAAATAGCTTGAAATATGTCTACAATCAAATCAGACCAGATCGGATTAGAGCTTATTTGAAATTTGTCCCAACCATTCAGATTAGGTGAAGAGAACAAGCTTTATGTTTGGTTCAAGGAATTTGAAAAGGAACAGAAAAAAAATAAGAGGGAAAACATTTTATCATATTTGGTTAGAAGGAAAAGAATGAAAAGACAATGTATTAAGAGGGAAAACAAATTTTCTCTCATTTTGGTGAGAAAAATGAGAGAAAACTATTTTCTTTTCTTTTTCTTTAAAATTTTCAAAATTCATTAAATCAAACGAACATAGTGTATAGTAAAAGAGTTACTCAGTCTGTCCCATTGAAGCAAGCATATTTTATTGATGTACAATTTTTAGATTTTAGTAAGGTAGAACCATTTGAAATTGCCAATCGTAGCTACTACCTCCGTCCTGCTATATTCGTCCACTTTTGACTTTTGAAATTGTTCATCTAAGCACTTTGACTCATCAAATTCTCTCAATGTATAAGCCTAAATATAGTCATGTGTGATCTTGTTTGATTTGTCCTAACATATAGATTATTAATATATAATTTTTATAATTTTTTAATATACAAATTATAAGATAAAATGGATTAAAGAAGTGCATTGGATGGTGTGCAAAAATGAAAGTGGACAAATATAGTGGGACGGAGGGAGTATATTTTTAAAACTTCTTTCTTTTCCATGTTTGATCAGAGTTATTCCTTGTTGTGTCTATACTTTGACTGGCCTGGTGGGAATGCTTCGTATGTATTCATTCTCCATCTCCTTTTCCAAACAAATTCCCTTCTTTCTTACCTTTAAATTTAGAAATGTTGCCAATGCGGCAATGCAGGTGTTTTGTTCCACGGTGTATGACTTCATGGCACCCGTCTTTTTATTATTTTTTCATTGATTTGCTGTTGGGGTAGTAAAAGTTCTTCTATCATGCACCTCAGGTGCAACATAAACTGACAGGGCTCCGGGGTTCACCACGAATGAGAGAACACCGAATTAGGGTTTGCTGGCTTTGCACCCTGGCGCTGCCGAGCCGGGAAGGAAGAGAGAAGAATGTATATGGTACAACGGGATGTACCTAGAAATAGATCCATCCTGGTAGTACTCATTCTGAAATAGATTAGTACTCATTCTTGCACAAATATAATTAGTGTGGTACTCATTCAAAAATAATGCAATACTCATTGGTACAAAATAATTATAATAATTGTCTACAAATAAGTAAGTGTTCATTTTGAAACAAAACAGTACTCATTCTCAAATAACTTAGTATTATTCTCATGTAAAATAAAATCTATACCATAAATAATTTCTTGGTTGTACCCAAAATTGGGTACAACCGGATGTATAATATAATTTGCCGGAAGAGAGAGATAGAATTTGGGGAGAAGAGAATTTTTATTATCATGCTTAGGTTATTTTGGGTAACACAACTCTATATATAGGGCAGAGTTCCCCAATCCTACTGAAAGTAGTTATCTATCATGTTAGATCAAGAAATACATCAAGGTAAAGAACTAGAAAAAAAACCCTCAAAGAAAGCTTATAACTTGCTCACCTAACAAAATCTAGATTACAAAAAGAATAAATAAATACTACTAATGAATATTAAGGCCGAACGTAATAGAGATATCTTCAAGGAGGGCCCACATGTTTGGAAACCACGCTTGGATTGGGCAGCGGAAAGCAAAATTTTAAAGTCTAAACATGGTTAGAATTTTACCTTTCTTGGTGAGAAAGCAACAATGTATAGTTGATGGGATTGGTCCAATAGCAACCACAAAAGTATCTCACCTCTAGTTTTGAGACATGAATTATGGAAAGTGTTCTAAAGAAAAAGTACGCTAGTAATTTTTTTCTAGAATATTTCTAAAATATAAAATATTTGAAGTAAAGTATTAAGACAACAAAACAAATTTTTGTCTCTTAATTAGAAGAGAGAGAGCCGAAACATTTCACCACTAAAAGGAGTGGGATGATCGACTCCTATTTATAAGGAGCATAATCCTCATTCCTAATGTTTAGGAAAAAAATCAAATTTCGTTCCTATTTTAATTGGTATTTCCAAAATACCCACTTTAAAGAACCTTCCAAATTATTTTGTTAACTTTAATTATCATATAATTAATCATAAAATGAATAATATAACACTTAATAATATAATATATATTTTTTGGCACAAATATATATGATGGGCCGCTACTAACCGAGAAGCCCAATCCGCGTGCCCAAGAGCATTTTTTGGACCAGTGGATATTCCAATATCACTGTTGGGCCGGCCCAGGGCGTTGGGCCCGAGCTTACCCGAATAGAGGAGTTGTTGGCAACACGGTTGTAAGGAAGAGCTCGCGGCTAGGTTGCGGAATATGAGCCGTGAGATTTGGATCGCATGATTTGCAGGAATTAGTTTCTATCTTTAATAATTACCTTAATAATGTAATCTATATGTATAAATAAGAGGAATCCTCACAAGGATCCTCAAACTAAACCTAGCGTAATACCTTGCATACTCAAGCTCTTGGATTAAGATCGTTTCTACGATCCGCCGTCGGATCTCTTGGTGGAATTCTTGTCCATCAAATCGGTGCTCTCATTTAGAACTCGAGAGTTTTGCTCAAGAGGAAACCTTCCACATAATCATGGTGCAAACACGCATACACACCAACCAACCCACCGGCAATCCTCATGAAAGGGAGACTAGCACCACCAGAGGTCGTCACCTCCCTATTAGTGTGACGAAAGCTGAACTCCTCATCCAACAGATCGAGATCACGTCTGAGCAATTCAAGGAGGTGGTGGCGGCCCTGACCCCAAATCAGGAGATCGTGATCGACGACGTAATAGGGGCACAAGCTGGGGGGAGGCCAGACCTGTGAGGTCAGAAGAAAAGAAGAAGAAGAAGACATGACACTCCCAAAAGAAGGGGGTGACCAAGCCCAATGGGAAGGCTATGGTAGAAGACGACCTGTCCAGATTGGAAGAGGAAGGTGATTTATCCTCATTCGAGCGGGCCTCTGCTTTCAAAAGACTGGGGGATCCCTAGAAGAAGAGACTGCGAACCTCCGTGTTCAAAACAAATCAAACGCCAAACCTCTTCTAACTTGACTAGCATCACCGAGATGTACTCTAATGGGCTTAGAAACACTTGTGTAAAGGTATTGATATAATTGATGATGTACTTATGCCCTTTCACTCAAAATATTATTTCAATGTCAAACATATTTTTAGTTGAGGTTATTTTGAGAAAAGTACACAAAAAGCAGGTTTTGAAAAATTGCATCAGTCCTCACGGTACCTAGATATCGTGCACATGGTACCTAGGTACTGCTGGTAGCTAACAGACCGAATGGAGCCACCATTTGAAGGTAGGTTCCGCTAGAGACATTGAAATTTTTGGAAGTCCACGGTACCCCTAGCAGTAGGCCGTACCGTGGTCACGGTACCTAGGTACCGGACGGTACCCCCCTACCGTGATGAAGGGTACTGTGACCGTTGCGGTGCCTGTACCTGTTTTTTAATTCAAATTTAAATTACCCCCAATAACTCCCCAACAGTCTTAAACGCACCAAACCCAATTTTAACCTTTCCAACTCGTATATAAACCCCCTTTAAGTCTCATTTTTTCATACAACAACATCTTTACTCAATCTAAAGCCTATTTCTATATTCTTGAGTGTTCGTTCAAGCTTTGTTCTTATTTTTCTTACTCATTTTAGTTTAAAGGTTTCATTATTTTTATACACCCACACACAAGGACATTTGTGATTCATTATTTTATATCTTGCATATAGGCTATTGTTGTTATTGATTTTATAATTTGTTCTTCTTCTACCAACTCATATTGTTTATTATTTGGTAGAGAAGCAAAAACCATTTCTATTGTTTTGTAAAAGGTGTGGATAGCCTTTAAATCCTCATTGTGTTATAAGGTTGAAGACAGCCTTTAAATTTTCAGTTTGTAAGCGATCGAGATAGCCGTTGTAAAATCTCATTTGCTTATTGACAAGGGTTGTTTGCCAAACCTTGTTTGAGTCTTCTTAGTGAAGCCAAACAAGTTAGTGGAGGTTAAATCTTTGAGGAAGAGCCTCGAGGTACTGGAGTAGGGAGCTCCCGAACCAGTATAAAATCGATTGTGTCGTACTTTTATTTTCTTACTTTTCTTGCTCTAAGTTTTTGTTTTTATGAAAAAATTTTAAACACCCTAATTCACCCCCTTCATAGGGTGTAATAAACTTTCAATGAAGTCTTAGATTAAGGGGGTTCTTCCCTTGTCGTGGCAATGAAGGATGTAGGAAGCAAGGTATTTGTGAGCATTGGGTGTGAATTTCCCAAGAGGTATCTCCCAAGTTGTGCATACCTCACGGATGAACGAGTGCAATGGGAATCGAAAACCATAGAGGGTTGAGTCATAGTGCATAACTAGGAAGCTACCCGGCTCAGGATTACAAGTAAGATTGACCCCATCCATGGTGTCCGGATGGTGGACTCTAAACGGATCTCCAAGAAGGTCACGCATGAGGGCAAGCTCCGAATCTTTAATCATGGATGATTCCGACAGCCATTGCTCAATAAAACTTAGGATTGAGATGTCACACTGCAGAAATTTAGAAGGAAAGCTGTGGATGATGGAAGATAACTCTGAATCGGGTCAAGGAATGATGCAAAGGTGTAAACGTGTCGCCGAAATGGAACGCGTTTTATAGATGTTACGAATCGAATTTCAAGGAGTGGGATCATTTCTGATTCAGCACGATGATTAAAGACGACTCTTCATTAGTTTCTTGGTGACGCGTTACTAAGGAAATAGGGGCGGGGGCTAGTGATGGATATCTCGGCTAGGTAATTAGATAGGGACAACACAATTGCGATTCCACGACCAACAAGGATATATATTCAATTGAAGAACGAAAGTGGGCCTAGAGTGTTGAGGGGAGTTGATGATTAATTTCCCCCCACGATTGATGCATGACTCGCGAATCGCTAATAATGGAGCGTACGAAATATTACATGCCTTGTATATGGTAGAAGTAGATAATAAATAGGGGCCAAACCCTCCATTGTAAAGTAGGCTGAATATAGCTTATACAAACACACGAGAGTTCTTATTTTCTCCAAGTCTATTCTTATTATTCTTTTGTTCTTCGTACGCCATAGTTATTATGTTAAATCCTATCACATACATTTTCAAATGTGTGAAAAATGAGTACTATAATTCTCGCAAATGAGCATTTTACAGATACACAACTAAAATAAAAATTTATAAAATGAAAATTCTGTTACTTTGAAATGAGCATTTGCTGGATGTACCTTGAGTATTGTAAATCTGGTTGTACGTTATTACAACTCGCTTGAGCTCAAGGAGTAGACATCTGACATTGTTTAAATTCGAAACGACAATTTTTGATAATTTCATTGAATTTTACTTACTAGCCCTAAACATTGTTATTTGAAACTAGTTATTTTTTGTTTTGCCCACACAATTTTTTCTTGATTCGGAAGGGAAATCTCATACTCATTCCGTCCAATAATGATTTTTTAGATCTGTTACCTCCGAAGAAGGTTAAAAAGCGTTGAAAAATAAAGAACATGTTTTTAAAATTTCCTAAAAATAGTGCAATATTTTGAGGGTACATATTTTTTGTTAAAAGAAAATTATGTGTTTTGGAACAAATGAAAAATGAAAAGTTTAACATGGACCAAAGTAAATTTCTTAATAAAATATTTTCTTAATTTTTTTAAAAGTTAAACACTTTGGTAAATTCTTACGTGGTCCTAAGATCAACGATCATTTTATTAAACTTAGTGCATTGATATCATAAAAGAATATTATATTTTTTACAAAAAGGAAAAGTGTGAGAATGTCCAAATTCGATATGTAGATGTTAGGACTAGGAGAGCAACTCTAACACTTTAACATATTTCGAAGAAACTGACTACACTGCGCATTTTCATAAAAATTTCGTTAATTTGAGTACATCATTTTATCATCTTGAAGATAAAGATTGAAGGATGATCAGAGCCGTTGACCATTTACTTTGCCACGGAAGGTCCATACCATAAATACAAGCTGTGATACAACAAAAGGGAGAGCCAATCCCAAAAGCTAGTTATTAAAGTGAGAGAACTTTTGGCTATATAAATCCATCACTAAGTCTTCCATTTAACCGGTATGGAACAATGAAATCAGTTCGTATCATTCGACCCCCATAAACCCAATGTCTCTGTTGGTCACGACTTGTTCCACCAGGCCACCGCTCCGTATGCCACTACTACGAGTTGGCTCCTGATGGGTATATCCCTATACCCGACCCGGACAACCGAAAGGGACATGTCAAATTATGACCGGTCACTTTTACCAATCACCAAATGAGGTTAACTCTTCAATTGGGACGGGTCAAAAGTTGACCGGTCACTTCCACTAAAAAAGTGACCGGTCACATTTGGGCGATAGCCAAAATATCACCTAATGTTGTGAAGAATTCAAGAAGATGGAAGAGACGGGTTGAGCTCAAGAAATGACCGGTCAACCTTTGAGAAAAAGGTGACCGGTCATATCATCTTACTTGACAAACATTGGTCCAGTATCTCAGGCATGGTGAACCGCGTCAAAGATCGAGGGACCACCCCGCCGTTCGTCCATCACAAGACAAACAGTGAAAGGGATGTTTGTCACTTTGCAGGGCTGATTGGATTGAGAATATCCATCTATAGTCTTTGATTGAACAGTACATGTCTTGGCTTATAGTTGCTAAATTCTATAATTGTACAGTGCTTCCATTATCTACAGTGACCTTCCCACGAGCTTCCTATTTTGTCCATGGATGAACAAGGGAGGGTCACAAATCCTCCTCTATAAATATGATGATATTTGATAGAGGAGGGGATCCAATTTTTTCTCTCACTAAAGTTCACTCTTGAGATAGAGTAAGAAATATAATTCGGACTGAGGAGATTTACCCGGTCTAGGTCATACTTTGTGTTCTTGTTGTGTGTTTTATATTACGGGTCGAGTGTGTCCAGGTCAAACCCGGTTAACCCACCCAGCTATATTTACACCATCAGCTCCAATACTATTGATAGAACACAAGAAAAAGCCACACCGAGCAAGTGAGAGAACCCAAGCTCTATATAAAACCATCACCAAATTACCCATAATTACCCGTTTAACTAGTGTGCGAGAATGAAATCGGTCCTTATCAACCTAGCTCTAGCAGAAACCAGAATTCTTAAAAATGTTATCAACCTAGGGCTAGCAGAACCCGGAATTCTTAAAAATGGTGGTTTTCTTGGGAATACCTCGCACTACTCCCATTTCTCTTTGGAAAATCTCCATCTACACCAGTGGATTTTCACTAGCAGGGAGTACTTGGAAAAGTTCAATCTTGATTCCCAGAAATGCGTATTCTATGATCAGGCATGCTCCCAGAGCTTCCCTTTGTTCCCGTAAGTTAACCCTACTTTGGCATTACTCCAATTTTTTTTCTTCCCGAAAAGTAATTACGGACAGTTTTACCGAGTGTCCAGAGATGTGAACATAATTTTTTTATAAATATAGTTTGAATGGTTCCCAGTCTAATTTCTCAACCTCTGGCTTACCATTGCACTTGATACATTGAGTTTTTCTTTTTCATCATTTTTTTCCGCTTTAAAGGCATAAAGGGCACTCTGAGGAGAAGGCACTGCAAATTTGGGATTCTTTTCCATCATATCCCCTTTCTCGTCTTATCTTCAGTTATTGTGTATTTGTCTGCTAAATTTGTTTGATTCCTATACTGAGGCAGCATTTGCTCCGTGAATTATGTGGGGATGCATATTTCAGTTTCTGGCATAATGCAATTTGAGATCTCATTTGACTTTTCAATCTCATTGAAATTTGGTTGGGAATTTGATATCATCAGGTTAGTTTTTAATGTTTAGTTTGGTTCGTTAAACAACTGGTGCAATCAATGAAACTGTGAAATAAATAGGTATTAGGTAGTCTGGTTGGACAAAGTGATTGATCTGGGCTCTTCGGATTTTTTTTGGAACTTGGAGAATGCTTTGGAAAGAAAGCAGTGATGAAAATTTAGCAGAAATTTTGTTGGAAAGAAAATGGGGGGGGGGGGTGATAAAAAACTCTGCTTCAAACACTGGAAACATCCTCTCTACTCCCTAGGGATACGGTCTTTTACACTTACCCTCCCCACACTCGACTTGTAGAATTATAGCTGGTTGTTGTTCAAATTCATTTTATTTCTTCACTCCATCTGTTCCTAATTTATCATCGCACTTTCCTATTATATCTTTCCATAGATTATTGCACCTTCCTTCTAAAGCAAAATAATGTATAGCTAATATAATTCCAGTCTCTTCTAAATAAATCTCAAACACACAGTTCCATGTTCTTATATCCTGTATTTGGTCAAAATGGGCAATAATTTAGGTAACACTAAACAGAAGGAAATAAATTTACTTAGCATTTCCCCCGCTTTCCCTGGCATTTTCTGGGATTAAAACATACCCTTAGGCCAGGTAGAAAATCTTTCCTTTCCTTTTTACATGAATGTATCTTAACTTTTGACACATTGTAGGTTCTGTAAGTTCTTCAAACATAGCAGAGAGGTCAGGGGACCAATCTGAAATAATATTCCTGGGAACAGGCACTAGTGAAGGGATCCCGCGAGTTAGCTGCCTCACTAACCCTGTGGATACATGCCCAGTAAGGAGTCAAAGCCCATCATACTCATGCAAATATATGCTATCTGGAACTCATCAATTGATATTTGAGCATTTAGTATACGAATTGAATAGTCAATTACAGGTTTGCTCAAAAGCTACTGAACCTGATAACAAAAATAGGAGGCATAACACAAGCATCCTCATTCGGTACCCTGGATCTTGTGGACATTCAAACATTGTTATAGATGCTGGCAAGTATGTAGAGTTTCCTTCTATCCGATTACAAATATTGGTCAAAAAATTATTTTGCAAGCATGTGAAGGATTGGTACTCTAACCCTCGGAAAAAATACTTTTGGAAACACAACATTGTTTGATAATAGCTAACTAATAATGTTCAAGTTTGCTTCAATCTTCCATGAAACATATTTTTTTCTTTCTTAATGCAGGTTCTTCTACCATAGCGCTTTGAGATGGTTTCCTCATTATGGGTAAGCTCTTCATCTAGTACTTTATAAGGACCCATTCGTTGAGGTTGAGACTTGGCCGCTATAGCTGAATGAGATGAATTTGCTGATAGATAGAATGATTGAATACTATGAATAGATTGAATGAGACTAGCTACCTCTAAAAGTTCTTCATTTATTTTTTTATAAATCAAAGAGTACACACACACAGGGTGAGGCTAAATCCACACCCAAAATGGCTAATTGGCTATATTGACACTTTTCAACCAACTTTGCTAAATTTATACCAATATCAAACTTATATTAAAGGGCGCAGATTTAACGAATTTAGGGGTGAAATGTGTGGATTTAGCAACACCCAGACATAGAGTATGTATGTATGTGTGTAGGTGTGTAGGTGAATAGGGGCGTACGTAGGTACGTAGGTATGTATGTACGTACGTACGTAGGTATGTAGGTACGTAGGTATGTATGTACGTACGTA